TCTCTTGTAAAATAATGGGGGATCGAAATAACAGGGCCCTGATAATCTTAAATAAGTTAAATATTTCCGGCTTGTTGAGTATGATAATATATATATATCGTTCGAAAGTTATAAAATTGACTATTCATCGTGAAGAATTATAATCTTCTGCTGCTACGATGAACCAAAAGGGGAAATTTTGGGGGAACTGATTAGGAGACCGGCCCACTTTGCCTCTCGAATCGAATTAAATACAATGAAGATGTTGACGGTTAGGCCTGTACGGATTTATTCCGACGCGGAAACTTATTTTCTTATCTTGTAATATTTTATATGACGATTGAAAATATGATTTTGTTTTCAAAACGCTTATTTAGTCTTTATGATATACATGTATTATGATTCAATACATGTACTGCGGATTGACACACTTGCGTTTTAAAAATATTTATCAAAGTTCGATTGCGAAACAAGTTCTTGCAACAATATTTATCTCTTTCGAGTCTTCTGCCACGAAATAAACCAATACTGGTATCACAAGAAGAAACATGGCCTTGATCCAAGGAGGGCTCGAACACATGATTCCTGGGTTGAGAGGCAAACACCTTATCTAACCACTTGGCCACCATTCCATTTTATATATCAAACGTTGAAGTTAGAAAATACTAGTATACACATTTCCAATCGCACAATAAGCTCGTAAATTCTACAATTCCCTCATTCCTCTATATGAAATATTGTATATTTATTTAGAAAAAAAAAACCCAAATGTCCTCTATAATTTGTCCATATACATGTATTTAAGCAAAACCATCTATATCTGTTAATTGTCGCAACCAGTTCTAAAGGTGGAATACACAATTTGATAACAGAAATGTAATAGCAACTGAAACGGGCAATGCCATGGTTCAATGAAGGTATTAGCGATTTAAAGTTTTGTTAAGCTTGTATTAAATATTATATGACTCACAATAAAAGGAGAAAAACGAGTGCAAACGACAATTGCACGCCACTAAAATTACCAAAAAGAGGTCAAATAAAATAACTTGCAGCGCTAGTCACGCAAAAGAGGGAAAAACAAGAGAGTCACTCTACTAGTATTTCTATGGTGTCGAAAGTACTTTTCTCTTTCATATCAAACAGTTTTGTTCTATGTATATATTCCAGTATATGTGAAACAATACACCCATAAACACTTTTCATATGAACTATGTAAATGACCGAGGTATATCGAGTGAAAAAATACGACTTGATTCCCTTATCTTCGAGTAAAATTGGTATCTCATACGCTAAAACAATACAAATTAAGCCATTTTTAAACCGCTAGTTTTTTGTGATTAAATGTCTGATTTTTAAAAATTATTACATCCAATAGGAACCAGCTTCGCGATCTTAGCTTTGTCACAGTATATGATTTCTACATATCTTTTGACACCAAAAGTTATTTAAATTAACTTTTAAACCTACCATATGTTCAGGCCCATTATTTACATCACGATTTATATTAGTTGAGATACGCAAAAGTTATTCTTTACTCGAAAACCTACTGATAAGAAAAGCCTGTCGTCTGCTAGTTGGGGAAAGTGTTTATTGGTGTATTGTATTATATAAAGCATCCGTAAGTGAATCATCGCCGTAGAGAAAAACATTCAATGTCTATGTTAATGCAGTTGTATTCATCTTATCTGATCATCAGTCAAGGATAAATTATAAAACACAATTATCATACAAAAGAGATATACAGAATTATTTATGTTATCGCGTAATTTAATGCATCAGTGATTCCTTGGGATTTATATCAGTTTTGAATAAAACAGATAAAAGTCGATCATTGTCGTCCAATCCCAATATTATTGTGTTTGTTTGCGAAACGGAGTTAATGTGATCGTATCTTAAAATCGTTATAATTGAGCCGCGCCATGACAACACAAGGATAATGCGTTTGTAGCCAGCATGGATCCAGACCAGCCTGCGCATCTACACAGTATGATCAGGATCCATGCTGTTCGCTTACAATCACTATAACAAGTAGAAAAACTGATATCGAACAGCATGGATCCTGATCAGACTGCGCGTAAGCGTAGACTGGTCTGGTTCCATGTTGTTCGTAAAAGTATTATGTTGGTTTTGTCATGGTGCGGCTCATTTATACTCGTACATTGCAGTGAACAAATTTGAAAAGGATGATGAATTTCGCTGAACTAATTTCAACTACACAAGATGATAGAATACGTATTTTCAAGTGAGCGGCACAATTTAAGACTTTTTTTCTTATTCATTTTCTTTTTATCTTATTAAACATTCAATAATCTGAAAGACACTGATAAAAAAAATCTACAAGCATCTTTCTGTTGCTGTTTTATTTTGTGTACGATGAAAAAAAGGGTGAAAAAGGAAGAAAAAAAACATATATTTTTATGTGCACTTGATTTCGTACTCTTTAGTTCAATTTTTTAGTGATTATTACTTAACATTCAAATCTCATTATTAAAATCAGATAAATTATGTCCATTGAGCCATATTATTTTTTCACACCTGAAGATTATAACGTACAGTACATAAATAAAATCATTTAGATAAAGGAGAGAGAAGGCAAATAAAAGGCATGAACTTACGAATGAAATTATGGCATTGTCTTAAAGATCCTGTATGTTGTAATTAAGGTTGTTACCACACTTTAGTGAAATTTTAAATATGTATATAATTATGATTCTATAACAATTTTCAAACATTGAATAATATGTAAAATATGTACTGTAAATATTTGTCCACATTATATGTAATCATTAAAATATATACATTCATTTCTTATTGATAAAATTGACTTTATAGAAAATAAATTTCTAAGTTTTTCCCTTTATTAACATTAAATGTAAACTCGGTAATATCGTTACAAATAATGCTTTTTAGAACTTACAATGTTGATAAATCTTTATTTGAGCATTATATTTATGATATAAAATCATAAAAAATTACAGGATCTATAAAATACAGGGAGATCTTTAAAAACCTTTTCGCTGCCAGAGGGTTATTGTTTTATTGTTCACCTATTTGCCAGAGGATTTTCTAAGAAATTACTATATTATTAATAAATAAAATCATTTTTATTTATAATTAGTATTATAATTATTATATATGTTTCCAAATTTGTTAGTAAAATAATAATTATTCGATATTGTCGATGGTATAATTTTCTTTATATTTATTATTAGTTTTATTATTATTTTTTATTAATTAATCATTATTACTATTATTATTATAGAAACGGCTAAAGCCGTCCATATGGCAAATACACCGAAAATAACAAGACGGCTTAAGCTGTCCCTATGGCATTGAAAGGGTTAAAATGCAGGGGGAAAAAAGGCAAATCAAATGAAATTTATGGTAACTTAATGAAACATTCTGGTTTGTGAGCAAAATAACATTTTTAACAGAACAAAATAAATGTTGCGTGAACTATTCACAAAATTACATAATGATAGTAGATCATAACCATTAAAAAGCCAGCGCTGAACAAGTGGGTTCGTATATGCTATAAATTTTAAAATCTAATATTTCAGATATGGGTCATATGACGCACTTTTAAATTAAAATACACCTATATTTAAAAGCGCAAAATGGGCCAATTAACCGGACCACTATCTTTGGTAACTAAAATAATAAATATTTTAAGAAAATTCATAAAAAATGAAATAGAGAACTCTATTTGTGATTAGTCAAGTCAATGAACATAATCCGTGGGTTCTTAATAATGCACAAGGGCGTGACTATTAAATTTGCATTTTCAGAATGAGATGGTTTAGTAACTGGGACTTGAAAGCTGTTGACACCTCAATAAAGCCATATGATTTTTTAACAGATTAAATTCTACAATTTTACATGCATGTTTATTTTGAACAGGATAGGGCAATTCCGCAACAATAATTTGTTTCTCCTAAAAATAAATGTCAATAAAAATTTAAAAGCATATTTTTGCTTTTTGGGGCTGCCCATTTTGCACAAAAATTATTTCATTATAATTTGTTCCACACAACTGTTTGTTTCTCAACAGTGTTTATTTTTGCAAACCTGGTCTTTAATAAGTTTCTTTAACTGAAAAGGCATTTTGTTGTACATTTTTTTGCTTATCATTTAACACTTGTTATTCCATTAATAAAAAATCATTTGATTAATTTTATTTTTAACAGGCGGAAATCGTTTGAATTTTTAAAGTTACTGTTAAGAAAAGAAATCATTAGCCTGAACTAATATGAAGGGAATCAAAAATCCTTTATTTGATGATCACGATTATCATGAGATTATCAAAAAACCATTCAAAGCTTGAAACTATAATTTCGGTTATAACTTATCTCTACTGACGATGACAACATTGCTGAAGCCACGATTAAACTCTTAACCGGAACGTTGAAATTTCATAATGTAATGGTTTTATAATTAATTAGCACAAAAACACATAATCAAAACAAGTTTTAAACAAGTATGACCATGGCAATCGAATTTACTAATGTATGATGCATTCTAATTTTGTTTTGATTTAATGGAACTTTTGAAATGTTGTTTTCTAACTTTGGTGAGAGGCGTCCGTGGGACAAATTTGATAATTTTTTAAGTACGAGTTTCCATTAAAAATTAATTAATTGCTGGGCCTTAGTTTTTGTAAAATGTGATATCATTTACCTATTAAGTCGGTTCATAAACGTCGTTGATGTCATTTGTGGGTTTTACCATCACTTTTTATTTTTTTGAATACTCTAGTAATTTTCACAAGCGGACATCTAAAAAAAAAATATAGGCAGTGACAAATTAGGTGAAAATTTAAGGATTTAAGGTTTAATATTTTGTAGTATTTTTCTCAAGAGTGCTTACCAATACTTAGAAAAAATTGTGTTGATAAATTTGGGACCAATCCGGCACATATTTTTATACTGACAATATTTAATCTTGGCTTTTGTAAAAGTCTTCTAACAATATAAAAAAATAGTTTAGAACATTCTTAAAAAATATTGCAACGAATTTTTCTGTGACAACTTTTAAGTTAAATACGCGAAATTAATTTTGCTTGTGTTAAATTGGATATAATTTTGACGGCAACATATATTTCTAAAGATACAAAAAAATTTCAAATTCATGTTGCCAAACCAACAAATGGCTGAAGACTCAGTGACTGCTTCGGTTAGTCCCAAACCTCAGACGTTCACTTTATACTCGGAGAAGGGTAAGTAGCTTTTTAAAAAAGATTGTATTTAAAAATAAATAAACAGAAAAGTAAAGAAAGCCATCGATGCTTGATTTTAATTAAGCTTTAATTTAGAATTGATATATTTCTTTTTACAAGTATATATCTTTACACCGACATATTTTGATGTAAATTTCATTTTTACAGGGCAATATCTGTGTGTCGATTTATGTTTAATGTATTGTAGTTTAATGCTCACATATCTCATAAAGACTAGGGATATTTCTTTATAGCCCTAAGTCTAAACAAACTTTTTTTATTGATAATGATTTGATTATGAGATTTGATTATGATTTGTCCATACACAAATTTATGTTGATGCGGAATTGTAGTAACGGTCATGGCTAATTGAAGACATCATTTTAATCTTATACTACAAAAAAACTAAGAAAGCCTTGTGAACAGATGCTGACTTCGTTCCTTTTAAATAAAGTACAACACAAAAATGACTGATGGCGAGTACTAGAAAATATGTGTATAGTATACAAAACATGTGTATAGTATACAAAAATATAAACATACAATTCACCAAAATAAACATGTATCAATTTTTGATATATTTAAGAATTCTTATTTTGTTGTTTTTTTTATTTAGAGATATATCCCCTAGTAATAGGGAATTATCTTTATAGCCCTTTCTGTAAAATACACATATTTATTTGTTAAGGGATATTAAATGTCTATACATAATTTATGTTGATAAGAATTTATCTTTATAACCCTTTGCGTATAAATAAATTTATGTTTAATAGAATGATTTATTTCAATAGTCATTTATCTATACACAAATTTATGTGGATAGGAATTCATCTTGATAGCGCTTTCTGTATGCACAAGTAAATGTTTTATCTTTTTAGATCTTTGTTTATTTTACACATATTTATGTAATAAGGGATTTTTTAATGTATAGTCCTGTGTCTATACATGTATTCATTTTGATTTTAACCCTTTATGACACACAAATTTATGTGAATAGGGGTTTATCTTTATAACCTTTTGTGTAAACACACATATATGTTGATTGGTATTTATCATTATAGCCCTTTGTATTTTTGCCAATTTATAATTTATCTGTATAACCCTTTCTGTTTAGATTGAGTATGCGATAACATTATATTCGTGTAAGGTTATTAATAAATTTATTGAACTCTTTGAATAAAATAATATTATGCTTGCAGGAAGATCGCTTAACGAAACTAATAAGTACCCCAGTTATAGTTTTCAGCATAAATTATGATATGATTAACGCAAACATTTAAAACTTATGCTGTGTAAAGTTTAATCATATTTGAAACATTTCATAACAAATAATCCATTTATAAACAACTCAAACTTAACACAAAAGATCATAAACCGAGATCACTACCAGTACACAATTTCGCACCAGAGTCTTATGAAGTTTATATCGCGTATGTCCACCGTTTGCTTAATTACTGCTAAGCACCGTGATTGCATTGACATAATGGCATTTCTAAAATAAGCCACTGGGATATTAGCCCATTTTTGCATTAGTCGGTTGTGTAGTTCTCTTTGGTTGGTGGGTGTATTCGGGCTTCTGTAGACACGCCGGCCAAGTTCATCCAATATGTTCTCAATCGGACTGAGATCGGGCAACTTTGACGGCCAGGGCAGTACGTTGACATTCTGCTGATGCAAGAGTGCCCGTGTTGTGCGTGCGGTGTGGCTCGTTGCCCCGTCTTGCATAAGTGTCATGCCCCTGTTCTGTTGAATAATGGGAATGGCAACTGGGCGAAGAATTTCGTTCTGGTAACCAGCTGCATTTAAGTTCCCTTGAATTGCAACAAGTGGTGTTTTCACGTGGAGTGAAATTCTAGCCCATATCATTACGGAGCCACCGCCGAACTGATCGCTTTCTACGACGCACGCATCAGCATAACGCTCACCACGTCGGCGGTACGCACGGGTTCTCCCATCATTTCCCTGAACATTGAAACGGAACTCATCGGTAAACAAGACTTTTGCCCAGTCCGCACGTGTGAATCGTAGATGTGTCCTCGCCCAGCGGACACGTGCACGACGGTTGTGTCCACGCAGTTCAATTCCCCGGTACGGCTGTCTGGCACGAATATTAACGGATCTGAGGTGCGATCGGACTGTGTTGCTGCTGATTGGCCGTCCGTGAGTTCCAAATGTCACCCTTGCTGTTTCTACTGCTGTGTGCTTTCGCTGGCGGAGGTGCGATAAAATCATAAACCAGTCTTGTCTGCATGTTGTCACTATACCACGTGGTCTCTTCGGAAGATTGGCGACACTTCCGGTACGTCTGTACTTTGAGGCCAGTCTTGTAATAGACTCTTTTGTAACACGCATTCTTCGGGAAACCTAGAAAAAAACAAGAAAGGATTACAAGGTTCATAATACTGATATGCAACGGGCTTTTCGTAGAATGCATGCACTGAAATGCAATAAAACGAACAATGGGTTTTGAACAACATACCTGCTCATGAGACGCTCCGGCTTCTAAAAGTCAAATAGCGATTGCACGTTCTTGCAACAACATACGAGCCATGTTTTGTTTTTCATGTAAGGCACATTTCCACTCTATCGATACATGTTTATATTGGTCATTATGGTAAGTTGCACGAAGTGCACGTGCTCGTTTTCAATTTTATACGACCACTCCCAAAGTATGGTTTTGCTTGATTAATTTTGCATAAATTCATTTTGAGCAGACGACAAATTGGGGCATTACATATAACCATTATCTAATGTGCATATTTTTAAAATAACACGTGTTTAATGCAATATTGTTTTTGGGGTACTAATAAGTTTCGTTAAGTGTATTATTCAACTTGTTCAATAAGTTCAGGATTGGACTAACACTTGTTCAATAAATTCAGCATTGAACTAACACTTGTTCAATAAGTTCAGTATTGAACTAACACTTGTTCAATAAGTTCAGTATCAAACTAACACTTGTTCAATTAGTTAAGTATTAAACTAACACTTGTTCAATAAGTTCAATATTGAACTAACACTTGTTCAATAAGTTCAGTATTGAACTAACACTTGTTCAATAAGTTCAGTATTGAACTAACACTTGTTAAAAAAATTCAGTATTGAACTAACACTTGTTCAATATCCTCTATGTGTCTTCTTTTCGAAATAACCTGAAACGCAATAACCCCTCAATATATGCATTTTCACAATTATCTCTTTTAATTATGTAACATGTCACTAAAACTATTTCTTATGGCTACGGTATATCAAATAGCAGTTCGTAAAGTTATTTGCCGCTAGGAGCATAATTAGTCGTCTGCAGACATCATCGTATCATTGTCAAAGAATGTTACTCTTTTGTAACATTTAAATTAAGGATGGACATAAATTTCCTATCTAATCCTTCCTAATTGGTCTGATTATTCATACGTTCAAGCAAAAGCAAAATTGCCTTTGATGTTGATAAATCGCATTAAAAAGCTAAAGAAACATTTTACCAATAAATACAACAACAACAACATCATCAACAACAACAACAACAACAACAATAATAATAATAATAATAAAAAAAAATTATAAAAATAAATAATGAAAATTTAAAAAAAAATAAATAAAACATGAAAAGAAAAAAAAAATATTTGTATCAAATTTCAAAAGACAAGATGGGTTCTGTATACAAATGTAATATTCTTGTTAAATCTACTACGCCATTTGAATTTTATAAATATCTTAATCATATGTGCAGAAATAAACTATGTTTGGTAGCATTGGTTGAAATATTAAACATTACAGTGAGGTTCACATTTTTACATCCATTGCTATTAGATGATGATGCCGTATTGTCTGACTCCCCAAGAAAGCTAAGTACGTTATTCATATTTATCTAAAAAGAGAAAAACAGAATCCCTAAAGATAGCCCAACATGGCAAAATTGTAAAATATTTCATGTAAGGTTTGATTGGGCGCGTTCATGGACGCTTCTGGAAAGTACAAGTTACCCTCCACGACCCCTAGCACCGGCTTAAGCAGAATTCAACAAAAAATGGTAATCTTTTGAATTAAGAAACATCCGCAGATGTGTTCATACGGCGGTTATCATGGAATCTACAAAGTGACACAGTCATGTCATTCCATGAAAAGCGACGTATGGTCCCCAAGTAAAAGAATGCGTGTGTCATAAACGAGAAAACAATGGGCAGAACTAAATAAAATGCAATTTTGAAAGGGGATCAGAGGTTATGAAGCCCGCATATCACAGACAATACGTCAAAAGACAAATTTAGAAAGCAGGCAACATATCCTTAGGGTGATTATACAGTATTCAAGTAGTAATAATGAACTTACCTAACTTGAAAAAGGCCAAATACAAGAAACTAAAAATACAATCTAAAATATATACACAACAATAATGTCAAGCTCAACGATCTTCAAAGTTTTAAAAATATTACATCATTGATTAAATGTACGGGGAGACTTTTAACAACCGCCACAAGGCACAAATAACACAGATGTGACAATGAAAATTTCATGGAACAATATCTTTTCTGCCTAAAATTTCGAAAATACTTGACATAAACATACATTACTTCTACTAAAAGAACACCACTCGATCATGATTTTAATAGAATCATTCATGTGGCCACGCTAATAGAAGTAAAGATTACATACGCTCGTATAAAGATTATGGCTTCTAGTCAGATATGCATTTTGTAACGTTAAGAAAGCTGTTGACAATAAACATTTACATTTTGTTTTTGCAGAAGTAAGAACATTATTTTTTGTCAGCATTATAGTGTCCATCTGTTCAAAACACATTTATCAAACAGAACACCAGTAGTTAAATTTGACCGTACCATTTCCAAAACAAGGTAGTTTCGAAAAGTTCAATTCTTAGCCCTTTTTTATTCTAATTATATAATTTTGATTCCGCTATATAACATGGGAATATAAATCGTTATGCCTATTATTACTGTTTTTTTACTATCCGATCTTGACTTCAATGCTATGTTCTGCTATTAATGCAATAGAAATAAAATTCTAATAAAATTTGGATGCCATAGATCAATAATGCAATTTAAACAATATGTAAATTCATCCAAATAAAACAAATTAAAAGTGCATGGTGTTTGAAATTATTGTAACGAACTACCTTTTAGTATTGTCAAGCATGAAATGGAAAGTAAAGATGAAAAAAATATGTGTTTATTTACGTCGTATATTGTTCTGCCTTTCAAATTGGCGCCCTTTCTACTTTAAAATAAATTGCATTATTGAGACGTATTGATTATTATTTGATAAAGCAAATAAACACAGTGACTATTTTACAATGCAAATGAATTTTCTGATATCTTTTAAAAACAAACATCAAAAGCATAACTTTCAGATATTAAAAAAAATGTTGCAATCACTTGTTTAAATCAACATCATCGTAACTTTGTCATTATACTATAATATTTATATGTCTATCTGTTGAGTTATATGCGAATAATAATTGTGTAAATAATTAAATTATACTGTTTAAATGGAGTGTTTGTCAAATTAATCAATTTTTATATTTTTATTCATATTTCTAGAAATAGACTGCTTCATTTATATGTCTATCTGTTGAGTTATATGCGAATGAAAAATGTGTAAATAATTAAATTTTACTGTTTAAATTGAAAGTCTGTCATATCAATCATGTTTTATACTTTTATTCATATTTCTAGAAATAGAACGCTTCAAAACAACCCAAACATATTTATACCTCCACGTCCCACATAGATTGATACACTTAAATCTACACCTCAACCGCACAAACTGATACATCTACATTTATACACTCAAACAGTCCATACAGATTGATTTGCGGTTTATGAACATCTACTATTTTTTCAACAGGATATATTTGCAAGATTGGGATTCTTAAATTATTATTTTTTCCTTGAGCTAAAATAAAAAAAAAGTTTGACAATATATTATCATGTTTAATTTCCGAAAGTTATTCCATTAGTTTCCGTAATTTCGCAAAATTGGTATAGATAGTATGCTTATTGATACATAAATCCATAATAAGAGCCCGGTGGCCTAGTGGTAAGTACGTTGGAACTGTTCTCGAGTGTTAAAAAAAATCGAACTTAGGAACAAATATTTCAAAAATTTTCCAGAAACTAATCTTTTATTCTTTGCGATTCATAAGAATACTGCTAAATTCATTGAAGTCTTGTTTCCAACGCGCGCGATGGTCATGTTAACCATTTGCTGCAGTTGTTTCCAGTAATATGTCAAGTAGTGTATGTGACATAACCATTTGGTGGAAGACGTGGGTATATAGAAAGGTAGAACAGACAACTTCATGACATGTTTTCAATCACAGAAAAAGTTTTTGAGGGATAAATAAAAAAATAAATCTTTTGTGTAAAGATGCGCTAAATGTTAGCTTTACACTATATGCGCGTTAAAAATGATCCTCACTTTAATCAGTCTTAATTTTGGGTATGTGATAATATAGAATATTATATATGTTTAGGTTCATTACTGAATTTACTGAAGTCATTGAATAAAATATTATTTTAAATGAAGGATACAAAAGTAATTTAGAACTTTTATTTTTTGTGGTGAGTGTTTCGATTTGCAAGAACTTTAAATCCAAACATTTATCTGTTGGTCTGTTTGCTCAATTCAACGTCTTTCGACCCGCGTTCAATCACATCAAGGAACTGCATCTAATTCTTAACTACGCAAGTAAGATTAAACATTATTTTGTAATGAAGCGTAACAAGTCTCGGTGTAATAAAATCAGATTGCGCACGAAGAACGCTCAACCGATTTTAGAGTAATTAAGTAAATGATGTGTAACATTTACTCCGTTAGTCCCGCAAGAGGACTCAATTTTCTATGGTTTGATATCATAGATCTGATGCTCAAATGAAAGTTTATTAATAGTGTAAGTGAAAAAAACAACAACATTATTTGTAAAGATATTACCAAATTTACTTTTCATGTAATTAAAGGAATGTAATTAGAAATCCTTTTGCGATTAAAATCTGGAAACAATTCAATATTTTCATAAATTTTAATGATTACTTATACTGCGAATCAACATTTGCAGTACGATCTAACATTCTCTTTTATGTTTTGAAATTGTTTAGAAGAACAATTATACACATATACATGTATAAAATTTCACTTAAGTGTCGTAACATCCTTAATAACTAACTACAGGACCTTTCAACAATTTCACATCCTCAGTATCTGTGCATCCAGAATCATAAAAAGTCTAGAAATATTGTATATCATTCCACACCAAGAAAAAACATTAAAGAAAAAACAATGTTGTTTTTTACATTATGCATTCGTAATGGCATTATAAGTGAAAATCAGCGACTTGTAAATTATTCATACTATATTGTAGAATTTTATAGAGGGATCCATTTGAAATATTCAAATCTGATCTAATGGGAAGATGAATCATTGAAAAATTGATAAATACATTATTTTCAGGCTAAGTATGGATTCACAAATTGTTGATTCGATCTTACACAGCTTCTTTTCTGAAGTCAAATAACTGTTTGCATGTTTTGCATTTTTGCGATTAACTTCGACTAGAAAACACTGACTGTGGGTGGATTCAATTACAAATAATAGACAAGAAACCATTTGAAATGGTCATTGAAATTAAATGAAATCGAATTATAACTCAGTCTAAAGTGCGATCAAATTAAGAAAACATAATTATAGTTCATGTTTAATTCTGCTAAAGCCGATGTTAAGGGCGTGGGCGGTAGCATTCATTTACCACTACCGTCCATGACCAGGCTCAATCAAACTGAATCTGCATTTTATTTATGTTTGACGTGTTTGTCTAGAGATTCTGTTTGTCTCTAAATTATTTCATGTATTTCAGATTTTAGGGACGCAACACAATGTGAAACTGATGATGACTGTCCGATGATAGGCAGCAAATGTTCTAAATACGAAGGGAAGTATAACAAACTCTGTGAATGTGAACATCACTTTAAGCTGCCAAATGAAAACAACGGCGGCTGCAGTAAGTATAGTAATAATAATAATAATAATAGTAATAATAATAATAATAATAATAATAATAATAATAATAATAATAATGGACATTTACAGGCCATCACACTAACTGGACATTTGTTTTTAAATACAAATCAATTTTCCTCATTCATCTCATTTTTGGTTTTCTTGTGATTTGTATCATTAATTTCAACAAGTTAGTCTTAACGAACGAATACAGCAAAAGCATGTGTTAAGTGGGTTATACATTATGCACATTAAACTGTCCCTTATAACGATTTCAGTGAAAGTGAGTCTTCAATTCCATTCCATTTATTTGCTTTATTTTCATTACTTTTGAGAGGTGACCTTTTGTCTTGTTGCTTAAACTCACTACAGATATCAAGTGCGGCATGCATTTGTAAAATAACCCGTATATCATAAAAGTATTGTTTTGTCTGATCTTTCGGATCATTGCTTCCAATACTTTAGTATTGATAACTGCATACCGCTTAAATATCTGGAAAGAAGTTATCCCTCGGAAGCATTAAAAACAGCAAAGTTTCATGCAAATTGCAGACTCGGTTAGCCAGTGTTAGGTTGTAAATTACTTTGTCGCCCATGAACAAACACAATACAAGTGTTACTGCGACATTACAAGTACTGTAAATTATTTGCTTTATTGAAATTTCTCTTGTAGGATGTCCCCTTGTCTAAATTTTATACTCACAACTGCAGATAGCAAGTTCTGTGTGGCAGCTATAGCAATGTGCCTTACATCATCTCATTATCTTTTTGTCTCTCTTATCTTTAAGTGATAATTGTTTCAAAAACGTTTAGTATTCATGATTAAATACCGCTTTATAAGAGCGCATTGTTTTTTTTTTCTCGTTGCCACTAAGGTTTAAGAAGTATATCACTTTTAATGCAAGTGTCGCTGACTCGATCCTTGAGCATGGCGAGGCGAAATATCCTTACCTCTGATTAATGTGGAATTTCTATTTGGTCAGTCGCAGAGAAATTAGTAATATTTGGTTAGCTATCTAGGAAACCAATAAGGCGGACCGGCCGCCGGCATATGACCAAAATGTATTGATATCGGGGTAAGACATACACACAGACGAACATTAAATCTTTGTTTTACTGCTCTCGATCAATCTCTACTTTTCCTGATTTTTAAGATTACTTAGTCCCAAATGTGTGAATGTATATTTTTAATATGATTACTTTTTACTTTTTGTATGTATTTAAGGTTATTATTACACAGCAAGACCAGAAAGAAAATCCACTGATACTTCATCGCATGTACGTAAATCACTTTGATTTTGATTAAGCCATGTTAGGATTTCCAATACACATAATTATATATATTGCACAGAATCAGCAGATTTCTTTCTTTCACTGCTCTCGAAAATTCCCTCATTGTCAGCATTGCTTACAAAATTGTATGCTGATTCAAATTATCTCGTTCTTTGTAAGATATTAAGATATTGTTCTTTTTATTCAAATATCTAAACGCCCAATAAACGTATTGGAGAAAGTATGTAATGACTTGTTAATATTAAGCTTGTATATATAAAACTGCATTCCATTTTATTTCCATTACAAAGTAAAGGGTATACTATATTGAGGTCTTTCGAATGGAGCCTGTAATTTTGCCGCCTGTTTACTTGCAGCAAACTACATCAAATGCACCTGACAGCAACTTAGGATCGGACTCGTTCTCAGATATTGGGCTCAAAATTTTTCTCCCAGTTGGGTTGGTATTGGTGATCAGTTTCATCGTGCTTTTAATGGTATTATCATACCGATACTACCGTAGGTTCTACTTTCGCGGACGAAATAGTGCAATTGTGAAAGCTAGTGAGGATAATCAAATTCTGGACAAATTGAATGTTGTAAATAGAAATTCATCTTACTTTGAAACTAATGTAGGAGAATATGGCAAAAAGTGGATCACCGGAAGCATTTCATTTGATAATTTAAGATTGATAGAAGTGATTGGGGAAGGAGCGTTTGGTCAAGTCCATAAAGGTATGGCAGAAAATATTATTATTAAATTTTAATATTGGGATATATTAGCAGTCGTTTATGTAAGGTATGTTCATTAAAATTTACAGTTACTTAGCAATTTGTCATTTAACTATGTACATGTACATGCTATGTACAAAAACATACTTAAGTAACTTTTATGTATTGTTTTAAAACAAAGGCTCTAAAATGTTCACTTACAAAGGGCATAACTATCTATTTAAGGCGAGCTTGTTCAACCAGATGTAAACGAAACTACATTAGTAGCCGTTAAAGTGTTAAAAGAGGGCGTGTCAAACGAGGCTCGTGATGACTTTGAGCGCGAGGTAGAAACCATGAGTGCCTTTGATCATGATAATATCCTTAAGCTTCTGCTTCTAGGGACTGTGTCTGCAGGTGAGTTTTCATTTGTTGGTAATCCGTTAATAATAATACCTGATTATAACGTATGAACGGACACAGCTGCCGATTGTAAAGTCATCCACAACTTGAATTCAGCTGAAGGTGATGCTAGGAAACCTAAAAAAGGCTTGCATTAATCACTGCCGTTCATGAACAGGTCTAATCAAACAGAGTCAACAATATTTTTATCGTTTTGTGGTTGCGGAATTCCGTATTTATCAATTGATTGTTTAAGAACGTGTATATTAGACGATTTAGAATAAATTCATAATGAAGCTAACTTTCTACAAGGTAAGGTGTATTTACTCATATGAGGTCCTCCTAAAATTGTGGTCCCTAAATCAATAATGTTTTCCTTTTTTATCGGGCGGTCAATAAAAATGTTTATGAATTATGTTTCAGCTATTTAACTTGGTATTGCATGCAAGCAACTGTCTCTTTGTGTTAGTTAAAATAAAATGATAAAACCCATGCATGGTTTCAGCACTATGAAACTGATTGTTCGGAATAATATCTTTTTCTTTAGTCATTAAAAATGATAATATTCATTAATTTAAATTCATTATAAAATGTTTTCAGAACATCTGTATCGAGAACGGTGTGAATTTCGACTGATAATATAACTTTAAGCGCATTTGTACAAATAAATGTGATTGAAAAAGTTAAATGTTAAAGTGTTACTCAGATGTGTTACTCTAGTTTGTTTAATTCTTAATTTGGATAAAATAGAGTATATCAGGTTATTTTCCTGTATGGCAAAGTTCGCGATTTTAGCAGTGATTTAAATTTAGCGAATCTAAATTTAGCGATTTTGTTGGTCGTGCTTCTTTTTCAGCATTTTTGCTGCTGACAAGGAGAGACCCATGTTTAGACAGAGCGTTTTATTTTCACTTTGTTTTCAAGTTTGCTATTGATGTATCGCTTGCTAGAATGTTTTCGATATTTCACACGTAACATTAGTATTGTTATGATTTTGTTGTGCTAACACGTTATTGTTATGCTGCCTATGTTAGCACGGTTGAACAACAACATTGAATTTCAAACAACTATTGATATCGAAAAATTGGCATTTAATAAATGATTTGTTTGTATCACAATGTGAAATGAAAAGAAAACTAAACTTGTTGCATATCTAAAGCAGACAAAAATGCGAAATCCCCGCATTAAATTGAAGGAAAATGTAGCGAATCTATTTTTCGCGATATTCATTGCACGCGAAAAAGGCAAAAATTAGATACTCGCGAAAAAAAAAAATAACAACAAAACAAAAAAACCCTGATATACAGTTATTCTGTGCTTGTAAGAAAAGAGGTAATTGCTTTTAAAATGACCACCCTGCAGAGGTTTAAATAAAACAGTTGATACACATGAAGCATAAATTATAACACTTCTTTCTTTTTCAGGGAACAACGACACCCCTTATATGGTGTTTGAATACATGATGCACGGTGACCTGACAGAGATGCTTAGAAAGAATGAGCCAACTATTACAACTGCTGACACTTCTGTAATGCTGCAAAAGGTATTATAAAATTAAACTTGAGTACCTCTTCGTAAAAAATATAAGAGGGGTGTCGCAGAAGTAAAGAGACTTTGGTCACAACTGCTTTATTAACAGTTACTCGTGTCATTTTTTTATCCTCATTTTTAGTTTGTATCCCATGTTTATTAAACAAACCCTCTACATCGAAATTCTTTTTTGTTCTACTTAAAAAATCCGAAGAGTTTCCGAGGTAGCATGTGTGACGCGCGGCGTATTTGACCATTGAAATATTAATTGTTTTAATTTGCTGTATATATGGAACACTTATTATCATTATTTTATAAATTCAAATGTTATGCAAATGGAATAAATTGAATAACAAACTTCAAAGATAAAATCGCATATATTAAGACATTTTGACTTTGTATACTTATATACTTTAAACTATTTGGATAATAGTAATGGATAATAGTAAGTTGTTTATTTGCTTGAATACTAATGACGTACAAAAATAAAGAAAAATAAACAGAATCGCTAAAGGAAACCCCAAAACGGCTAAATTGAATGATCCTTATTACTTTTTCAGACTGACCTTGTTGACATTACGATACAGATTGCCAATGGTATGAGGTATCTGACGTCACAGCATTTTGTCCATCGTGATCTGGCAACGCGAAACTGCCTCGTAGGTGATGGTTTAATTGTAAAGATAAGCGACTTTGGGATGTCACGTGATATTTACACTTGCGATTATTATAAGGTAGGTCATGGTTAATAATGTCTAAATTTTAAAGGGACTCTACTGCGTTTTTATTTTAATATTTTCTAGAGATATTTGTACCATTTGATAAAAAGTCTTTAAAATAAGTTGTGTGTAAAATGTCAGATCATTCGCTCCATTTGTTTTGTTTGTTTTTGTTGTTGTTGTTGTTGTTGTTTTCAGATTATTTATTTTGATTATTAAAATATTGTCCTAGAAATGAAATGCGTTTAAACGCCTTTATCTAAAATTGGTAAACAATAGTGCAAAAATTCAAGTTTAAGTTTTAGTTGGTATAGTACCTCTGAATTTGAAAAGAACACCACTGACGCTTTTCGACATGATTTGACATGACGGTACTGGAAATAACTTTGACCGAAATCTTGAGCTCAGACTATCAGATTTAAGATCCTTTAGTTGTTTTAAATTAATTTATTTTATTTATGAAAATTATTTAAAAAATAAATGGAAAGTGTTTATACATGTATGTTTTATCATCTTTTGAGATTTTACAATTTAACGTACCCTAATTGATCTATTCATGAAATTCAACTTTTAAATTAATATTTTAGGCTTTGTTGACATCAGTAGAGTTCTTTTTAGTATGCTTTCACCGCGTACATTAATTAAGAATCAAATATTTTTTTGACTTCCTTTTATGTTGCTATATCTTCTGTTTCTTCCTATCGCAGAAAGCATTATTAAGATTTTATGAATGTTAGAAATTTTATTTCTGAGGTATCATCTTTTTTAAAATATATTTTTGCTATGAATATTTTATACATTTCATCACTGAGATATATCTATTTTTAATAAAATTTTATCAAATGCTCCAAATCACCTTTTTGTATGATTTATTTTTAGATTTGCGGATGAAAAGATATCTTTATTTCTAATAATATTTCAGTAAATCTTTGAAATCTGCACCTCTTTGGATGATGTGCCCTTCTCTCTTATGTAATTAATTCTATTTCTAGAAAAGTGGTATCACTGCATTACGATTTCAATTCAAAATTAAGGTTTACTTACTCTCTTTAGATTGGGCGATCAAAAGATATATTTTTTAATGCTAGTTCAGTAAATGGTCCAAATCACCTCTTTGTATGATATTCCCGTTCTTCTTATGTTATATATTCTATTTATAGAAACATAATACGATATATTACGATATCAGTTGAAAACTAGGGTTAATATTTTTTGTTTTAGATTGGGGGATCAAGAATGTTGCCGGTACGATGGATGTCACCAGAAGCTGTGAAATGGGGACGATTTACAACAGACTCAGATATATGGGCATTTGGTGTCGTACTGTGGGAGATCTTTAGCTACGGGCGCCAACCCTACTATGGACATACTAACGAAGAGGTAATTTTTGTATTGAAAAAGAGAAAACTATAGTCTCCAAAGACATTCCAATACGGCAAATCTGAAAATGTTAAAGGCTCGGTATACTGAGTTTGTTCCTGGACAGTACTGGAAAGTACAAGCTACTGTCCACACCTCCTTACACAGGCTTTAGCAGTATTCATCATTTTAACATGTAATGGTAAATTTTGATGTGTTCAGGTTACGTATACAGTAAATTCTTCACATTATTTGTCATTGAAAACTTAAAAAAAGAAAATTGTAAACGGAATGGGCTATTTCATACATTTTTTGAGTAATCACAATTGATCGTATTTAATAAACCGACTCTCATTCCGTATATAAGATGATGAAATCACTTGTTCTCTCTCAACAATCAATTGTATTAAGTAATTTATCTTCGGTTCTATGACTGTATGTATGTTTCTCGTGTGTGTGGTTTTTTTGTTTTTTTTTTTTTTTTTTTGCTTTTTTAAATTTTAAATTCACCTTGAACAGTTTTTAATATTAGATTAATAAATCGTTAGTGCTCTTATCTTAGGATCGCGATAAATAACGATTAATAACAAAATGCATTGTTTCTATTTAGGTTATTAGATTTCTGGACGAGGGAATTCTACTGCAAAGGCCCGAGGAATGCCCGTCTATAGTTTACCACGTTATGTTACAATGTTGGAAAATAGATCCTAAAAAACGACTGGCATTTGACAGAATCCACAAATATTTGACCGAATACAGAAAACAGCTATATAACTCATCAAAACCAGCATCATATAATGTGGTCAATGAATATGAAATTCCTCAATAAGCACTACAAAATAACTTTGTTATTTAAGAACTGTCGTGATTGAAAAAGTGATTGACAATACAAACGATGGACTTACTTTCCGTGTTTGATTCGTAGCCAAGATAGGAATTGCATTTATTCTTCTAAGTTATTTGTTATTAATTACAAAAACATGGCGCTCAAAAGACCTCACACTTTGGATTCGATTGGCTCGGAATATTCCGATAAAGTATACCATACGATACTACATTACTTTTTTATTTCTTTTCTTAACTAATAAAGTAGTCTTATTGAACAATTAACTGAAAGGCAATCAAAATGCAGATTATAACAAGATCGTAGGTTTTTACTTATTTATAATGGAAACTACAAAGCATACATTCAAAAGTCATGAGAAATTTGATTAGGTAGAAAGAGACAATACATGATTTTATTCGTTCATGAGAAGCTATATTTTGTTCAAATTATAGGTTTTTAACAATGTATGCTTTTGGCGTTCAAAGGTTCATATTCATAGTTGACTTTGAAATTGTAAAGTTATCTTTTGTGAATAAGACAAAACTTTATTTGTAAATAGAAATATGACCTTTATTGTTTATATATATATGTCTAGTAATACTGTAATTATTTTTAATTTATCAATAATTTTGTAATAAAAACGTAGTTTTAAAACAATAACCTGTTTCTTTCATATTTTTATCTGTCAGTTATGGTCGCTGAAAAGTATAACATAACGTTCGATCTCAATGGATTAACAATGTTATATTATAATACGAAATGCCATTTTAATACTTTCAAGTGTTAAATAGTACGAACTTTTCTTTCACAAGTTACATTTAATTTCATGTCATCTTAAGATGTTTGAAATGGAATTATGATAAAAGAGAACTATATTAAATATGCCACCGATAAATCAATTGTATGTTTGAAAATGCTTGTGGGGGCGTCCTCGGCCGAGTTGTTATGGTCGTTGACTTCAAACCACTTGCCCCTCACCGCTGTGAGTTCGAATCCCGACAGAGAGTTTGGATTCTTTCATATGAAGAAGCTATCCAGCTAGCTTACGGAACGTCGGTGGTTCTACTAAGGTACCCGTTCGTGCCTGAAATAATGCACGGAAGGGCACCTGAGGTATTCCTCCACCAGTACAGCTGGAACGTCACCATATGACCTATATTGTGTCGGTGTGACCTAATTAAAAGAAGAACAAATGCTAGTCTGTTGTTTGGAAAACATTTACTTTCGCAATCAGTTCACCTCAATAGAACATTATTATACATGAACCTTTGCCTTTGATATCAGTGAAACACACGATTATTACGAGATCAAATTGTTGTATTATTTCTATTTAGTCATCACAAGCTGCTGTTATAATTGATATGTTGGTTTTCAAATTGCACCATCACTCTAAAGAACATATGGCGACAATCAAGCTTTAATAGTGAATCGAGACCTCAGATGCATTAGTTCAGAGAAGAGCAGGAACCTGAGTAGAACCACCGGTGTTCCATAACAAAGCTGGATAAAAAACCCACATAAAAGAATCCAACTTTCTGATATATAAGATATATACTGCTTTTTTCCTATCCTTGTAAGGCATTACCATTTATGCAACATTAAACATAATTACTGTTGATATGAGTTTACTGTTCCACTTCGTTTTACCTATTAATCATCATGTAAGAAAATGTGATATATCAATGATCACTCTTGCTTGGGCTAAAAAAGGGATACATTTCTAGAACTCATTTTTGTACTATGCCCCGGGTATATATATTTAAACTTTCAACTTGTTTCAGTAGTTTCAATAACAACTCATGAAACAAAGTCCTTATGACCATACATAAGTTTTTGCAAAATGATAATTTCTGCAATTACGTCACATATAATATAACGTTGTCATATAAAATATTATTATCGCTGCGTTAAAAATGTCATACATCCATTTACTGTCGATCATTCACAATATTTGAAGAATATTATATCTTCGTGTGAACGCAAATCACTTTGATTTTATTAGTAAAATAACTCGCTATCAAGGAATCCGTCTAAACCACACTTTTTTAGATTATTTGTCACGAAGTTTAATGGTTTGTAACTCAATTTATTTGAATGGAATCCGAAATATAAATTGTGATAAACATGACTTAGTGCTTAGCTGAAAGAAATTAAAAAGTTTGATAGCAAACTTTCATTTCAAATAAATCATTACAGGCTATTTACTTTATCAGTATGTTCATAGAAGGCAATTCAATTTTGGACAATTAATTTTGTCTGGATTTTATGCCCATTACATAGTGTTTTTGTCACTTTATCAATTAGTTTACCCATAATATAAAAAGGAAATTTAATGTTGGACATTTAAATTATGCTTGCATTTTATGTCCATTATATTGTTTATTTGTCCGGGTGTATTTTAATGTTTATGTGGTTTTACGCTGATTGGTACACAAGTTTGTTAAAAAGGTCGGCGTCCGTCAACTTTACCAGCTTACTTGATAACTATCTTCTCAGTTCTAATTTCTCCGGCAGTGACTGGCTAGTAATCCTGTATAATTTCGGTATCGGTGATGGAAAACAGATGACCATCGCCATAGAAAATAGACGTTTGCGTAACAATAGTCATAAATTACCACAAACATGTTTATCAAATGTCACAAAAATACATTTTAAGAATTGTTTCGAAATAACAGAAAAATATTTAAACCAAAATAAGCGGACAAAACAACCGGCACATTTTTCAATATTCATGATATCACTGATTTGCGCTATTAATTATTTCCTTTGCATCCCATTGATAGTTATTACGTATTGCAAACAAACAGGCATGATGAGGATGGGTCTAGTGTATAAACATTTCCGTCATAACATATCTTTCCATCGGAATAAGTTATAATTGGATTACCGCTTGGGAATATTTTTTAATAAATAGTTCCGTCCTGTAATTGTTTATTTATCGAGAACTGAGTTATATAATATCTATTTTGTACCCAATACGTGTTTGATTATGTCACCAGTAAAGTACAAGGCAAGTCCCTGAATCAGACGTTTTAAATTTGCACTTTTATATTAACCAATATCATGAACATATGTTTCGGGAAAAAGTTCATGGTTTGTATTTAATTGTATTGAATAGCAAAACGTGCAGCTCATACTTAGACAGAACAGTTTTTTTCACATGATCTTGGTCTACACTGGCATGGGACCAATCAGTTGTCGCCAGCAGGTTATGGGGTAATTTGCTTTTGATTTTGTACACACGCGTTGATAACTTGCACATAATCAAATTCAATGCTCGAATAGTACCTGCAAAATGTTCCAATTCAAAATGTTATTTTGTTGACTCCGAGATTTATTATCATTCTACGAAATCCTTATTATATACAAAATGGCCATTAAAATTTGGCTTTAAAACTAAATATCTAAATAAAAACATTTGAAGATTAATTTTCTTGTTTAAGCCTGAACACGGGATAAATTTTGTTTAAGAGTCTGAGTGGGAGAATTTAGGAAAACAAAACTTTATCCCGTTTTAGGTCTTAAATAGGCAGTAATACCTGAAAAGTTGATTTAAATTATATGTACGATTTCTTAGTATAAAAACATATTTCACCTTCGGGCCGACGGGATGTTTACAAACAAAGCAAAAAAAAAAAAAAAAAAAAAAAACAAAAAAAAAAAAAAAAAAAAAACAAAAAAAAACAACAAACAAAAAGCAAATAACACTTGGGTGGATTTTGCAGGTGCGTGATGACGTAGTATCCTACAATGAAAGTTACAGTTAATGAAACGAAACGTTCCAATGCGATACATTTTTATGTTGAATAATAGATAATTATCACCAGTTGTGACTGCTACTATTTATAAATAGCACCGACACAAGGAAACTCTTACATAATTAATTTTGCTAATGAAGCTGGCCTTAGTATAATGAAATCATTCCGTTTATATTGCATTACTTCGAACAAAAGAAGCATTTAAGTAATAAAACACCATGCAAAAGGACTATATATTAATATATTAAAAAAAGCAAAATAGCAAGTAAAACTTTGTGCCCAATAAAATTCTTTTGATTTTGAAAACAAAACATTTTATGTAGAAGACTCTATGTCCTTTTTATTTTGATTTGTAATGGTTGTGAATTGAACAATATAAACATATATTTGAATTAGGAGACAAAATGATATGATTGAGATAATGTGTGTCAGAATAATCATGCAGTTTCACTGTAGATAGTTTTTTTTTTACAACGAGTCAGCAATACACTGAAGTGTATCAGATTTCAATGTACAGTTTCATTTATAAACCTGTTGCTGGGAGTGTAAAATTTATCTACATGTTTAAATGTCAGATCGTTTATGTTAGCAAATATGCGCGTTTAGAGAGAGATTTTACGTCAGTTAGGAGACACACGCTTATAGTGTGAGAGGTTATTTTTTATTGGGAAGAGAATTTTGATGTTTTGAAGAGAATTTTGTTGTTTTGAAGTCAGTTTTGTTGGTTTGTTGAAGTGGTTGAATATAATTGTGGTGATCTTAATTGATCAGGGTTTATTGGTTGTAATTAGTTGTTTTTGTTGTTGAGTTATATCTGTTTGTGAAGATATAATTGGTTGATATTGGTTGAACGTTTGTTTGGTCAAGATTATATTAGTTGCTGCTTTGTTTTGAGGATATATGTAAATATTGGATGCTTTAGTTTAAGTTGTTTTCTGATGCTGATTAGATTGTGTGAAGTTAAAATGGTTGGATGAATGTTTGTGGTTTATACCGTATCTTAGAGTTGTAAAAATATTCATTTTTTTGTGTTCTTCATTTTGTGGTGATTTTATTGTTGTTTGGTCATAAGTTGTTAGAGCTTGGGCTCGCCAGGTGTCTTGTTTCGTATAAAAGACGTATACGTGAAAAGATATTTCATATAATTGGCTGATAAATGATGTGTGTTTGTTTTGGGTGTAAATAATGATCAGAGTTCTTTGTTTTGGGTGTAAATAATAATCAGAGTTTGTTGTTTACATGTATATATTGATTTGAGATAGAAAAGGATAAAAATACCTAAAAAAAAGATAGTGTTAACTAAACAATTACATGCTAGTTTTCCAACTGAGAATATTTCACTTTTATGTCAGGCGGTGCTGCCCAGCCTCCATATCTTGGAAATTGGTTCTAGTATTTATTACTAAATCTTTTCTTAGATTAAATAACATCAAGGCAGACATTTCTCCTGACAATTTGGGGGCTCGTCCGGGATATTCTCTTTAAGTTGGAATTTTTCCTGGCAAAATATTGTTTGTTAAACTTTGATAAAAAAAAAAATTTATTAAACCTTTAAATCATTTACGATCTGTTGGTAAAATGCAGCAGTGTAAAATGCTGTTAGGCGAAAATCGATAAACCTTCGTTGTAGTGTTATACAAGTAAACTCTCTGTGCAATAAAGTTTAAGTAGAGAGTTATATGTATAGAAGCGGTGACGGGCTGTGTTTAAAAGTTTATTTATACTAAAGAAGTTATTGCATTTTAGCAGGAGAGCACCCTTTGTTGAATACTGTTTATACGGTGATAGAATTAAGTGGTTTTTGGGAGACATTTGTTTCGATAGTTTGAATCATTGTGTTAATAAGTTTATATCGATGATAAAGATATAACTTATAATTTGTTGAGGTTA